TGATTTGTGTATTGTTCCCTTAATTTATTACCAATTTTATAGAATTCAAACATGTAGTTTTATTTATGGGCCAATTATGCAAAGTTAAATTCTTAGGTATTTATGTTATTTTTTATACTTGTGTGTACTTAATTTTTGCATATGTTAATTATTTATGTTTGGAATAATATATGCAATTTTTGTAAGAATTTAAGTTATGAAAAGTTACATTTATACTCATATTTGGCTTGCATGAGTCATTTATATTTTAAATTATTTTATGCAATTTATAATGATTATGAGAATATTTTGTGCATATTCATGTTATTTAAAATTGTGCTATTAGAATTATTTTCATATTGAGTTAATCGTTTATGCATAAAAGGATAGTGTAGTGATCTATATAGTTTTATTTATTTATGGATTAGCCATAACATCTTTAATCAAGGATTAAAGACATTAAACTGTAATTAATTATACTTAATATAACGAAATTTATCTCACCGTAATTTTTATTATATTTATATAATTAATTAAAATAAAATATCAAATTACCTCATAATTTGCCCATAGGAATTATGAATAAGTATATAATTTGATAGTTTTATTATAAAGTTTAATTTAGCCCATATTTGAGCCACATTAAAATTTTTATTCTCATTCTTATACTCATTTTCAACCACACATTCTTCAATAAAATAATATTTTCAATCAGATCAATAACTGTTCCTTCTTTTTCAACTACATATTCTCCATCAATCTACTATTTCAAAATATATTCTTCCAAAATAATGTAGCTTAAACACACACTTAATATAGAATATCAAATTGTTTTCATAATAAACTTAAATATGAATTAAGTGCATAATTTGATATTTATATCATAAGGAATAATTGAATATGCTTGAATTAAAAATTTAGTCCACGGACAATTTTTATGTCATTATATTCAATTTGAGCATGATTTACATTAGCAAAACATGCAATCTATTCAATTAAACCTCGATTTTAATATAAGAAATTTTTAATATTATGCAGCCTCACAATCTACTAATTTCTTTGATATTCGTTGTGATATTTCCAAAGTAAAGGGTAATAACTACAAAGTATAGAATAAGATAATTTCTCTTCATTTAGGGTGGATGGATACTAACTATACTATTAGGAAAGATGAACCACCTGAAATCACCGATGTCAGAACTGCAACATACACCGTACTTTATGAAAAATGGGAGCGATCTAACCACCACAGCATAATGTTCATAAAGACTAAAATTTCTACTAGTATACGTGGTTTCGTCGATCAGCATGACAATGTCTAGGACTTGATAAAGGCCATTGATGATCAATTCGTCATTTCTGATAAGGCATTAGCAAGCACCCTTATAATGAAGCTCTCCTTAAAGCTCATCGATGTAAAAGGTGTGCGCGAGCCCTTCATGCATATGAGAGACATTACAATTCAACTTAGGAAACTCGAGATTGAGATGTTTGAATCCTTCATTGTGTACTATATCTTGAATACTCTCCCACAATAGTACGGACCTTTCAAAACATCGTACAACACACATAAGGAATGATCAATAAATGAATTAATGACTATGCATGTTCAAGAAGAATGGAAGATAATAATGGAACAAGGTTAAAGTGCAATGTTGAACACATGAGAAATGGAAGGCTCAAGCCAATCAGAAGGGAAAAGGTAAAATACTACCCCAAGTTGATATCAAGAAAGAAGATAAGTGTTACTTCTATAAAAAGACTGGATACATAAAAATAATTGTGCCTAATTCAAGAAATGGCTTGAGAATAAATGTAATCCAATCTCGTTTGTTTGTTATGAATTTAATATGATTAATATAAATATCAACACTTGGTGGATTGATTCTAGATCTACAATCCAAATTGCAAACTCCTGGGCGCAAAACCTGATGAAGCAAGTGGGAAGTGGGCAAAATATCCTATCAGGAAACAAAATGGGCTCACATGTGGAGGCTATAGGGACATGCATTTTAACTTTATGTAGTAATTTTGTTTTGAAATTAGATAGGACTTTTCATGTTCCAAGATTTTCACGAAACTTGATTTCTATTTCCAGACTTGTACAATTGGGATAGTCCTTTAATTTTTCAAACACCTCATTCAGTTTATTATTTAATTC